AATAGCACTTTGCAAAGTATTGTTATTTAAATACCCTTCAGGATATTTATATAAATTTTTATTCACTCTATTTCAGGTTATTAATCAATTTCAGTATTAATCAGTTTTGAAATAGTTTTCCAGTCAGGCTTTTGTAAGTCCTCTCAGCTGCTATATTGTATTTTGTTTTCAAAAGATTCCCTGCCTTTTAAAAAGGAGTTAATGAATATTAAGAAGGAATATATTATCCTCAAATGCCTTCAGGAAAGTTTTGCACTTTCTGAAAGCTAATGAATTATAGATTTTGAATAATTAAAGTTTTCTGTCAAAAAAACACTGTCATTATAGGAAAAAATGGATTTTGAATAATTAAAGTTACTGTCAAAAAGATACTGCCATTATAGAAAAATGTGTGGACACTTTCTGAAGAAAAAAATGTCCTCATCCAGAGCTTCAGTATATATTTTGTGAGTCTAAGCAAGAAAGATAGGATATCGATTGTTGTTTAACTTAACACAAAAACTCATTCGGGATTAATTGTAATTCATTTAATGATAAGACTTGCATTGTCTACCTTTTCAAACTAAAGAACAAAGACAGATCTGAGGCATCACTCAGATTCACTGAAGGAATAAAATGCAAGTTCAATAAATGTAATCATAGAAAGATATCCCCATGTGTAATTTGTTTGGGCTCTGGTTCCTCAAATGAAATTGGAAAGCTTTTAGTCATAGGAAATAAGATAACGATAAATATGAATGATTAAGCCTAGAGTCATGGGACAATCTTAACTCTGTGTTGCAGCACCTACTTTCTATGCAAAAGGAGTAAGCTCCAATCACTAATATCTCTAGGAAGGACTGAAAAAGGCCCTCATCTGAGATTCTGAAAAACTATTGCCAGACATAAAACAGTTCTGAGTTACAGAACTGATTTTTTTCACTTAGCTTTACTGTGCCCTGAAATTAAAGTGTTGGAGACAAATTCTCAGAAATTTGAACAATAAATGTTGTGGTTGTCATTACAAAAATATACAGAACTCTTCCATGTACAAAGAAAGAGTGAAATTCTAGTACCTGAGTTGAACTAATAAGGAGGAAGGACAGCTCCAGCCTCTTTCTCCTGATGCCAGACTTGACCAAAGGTTTACCTCACTTGTCAAGAAAACTTTCTAAGCTCCAAGGCTACAGTGTTAATAGAGGATTGAGTAGATAAAATGACACATCACATGGCACTGGGTTTACAATCAAGGGGTAATTCACCAAGGGCAAAGCTTTCTTTCTCTTGTTAGTTCTCAATGTCTATTTATTAAGCCCCATCAAACCACTGTATAAAAGAGCTTTGGTCCCACCAACACAGCAGCAACAGCCCAAAGCAATGAGGAGCAAAACACAGCTTAACCCCAAAACAAGAAGGTATGTGCAAATGTCTCAAACAGACATCTCCCTAATTCACATGAGTATAAGAAAGGGAGGTGGTAAAGTATTTATGTATGTATGTATTTATTTATCAAATTTGTATGGCTGCCCATCTCACAAAAAAGTGACTCTGGGCGGCGTACAACACAATTAAGAACCAATAAATATATAAAAACATTCATTATAAAAACTATAAAAAGCAAAAGAACAAGAGAGGATGATGTTAGCTGCAATACGGAAGCCATCACAGGATCTCCCTAGTTCTCTGGGGCCCCCAGGCCTGATGACATAGCCAGGTCTTGAGTGACTTGCAGAATGTTAAGAGGGATGGAGCTAACCTCACTTCTGCGGGGAGAAGATTCTATAAGGCTGGTGCCATGGCAGAAAAGACCCGCCTCCTGGGACCCGCCAAATTTAGTTCCCTGCCAGACAGGACCCGCAGCATGACTTCTCTGCCAGATCTGATGGGACAGGCATATAATCAGACTTGCAAGATTCTGTTATTGTAGTCCATCTTAATAAAAGTAGTTTTATACTTCCATGGAATTGTTTCTTGCTCTGGTCTACATTGTGGAGCTGACACAGGCCTATCATGCTGGGCCAGGCTTTTTGCAGAAGGATGATGACTGTGATGAGAGGACAGCTCAATCAGGATGCCTTGAGTGGGAATGCATGCTCATTGCCTGGATCCAGCATGATACTTCCCAAGAACAAGTCCAGGAGGAATACTTCCTTGGAAGATGAAGATAAGAGTAGGTAAGAACACCTCAATCCAGGCTGAATTGTTTTGGGTGGTGAACTAGAGCAGGGTTGGGGCTGTGGCAGGATCTTTTGGTGTGAAGGCAAAGGCCATCAAAGAAAAACTCTGGTGCCTCGATTAATTCAGTGCCAGCAGTCTGATGAAGGCTGCCCACATCCAGGCAGAGTACGATTGAATGCAACTCCCTCAAATTTGCTTACAATTCCCCAAGGGAATCACGTTCCCAATTTGAGAAATGCTGGACTAGTGAAAATAGTGTGTGATGATAACTCAAGCTAATTGGCCTAATCCCTGCAATTCTTAGTTTAAAAAAAATAAAATAAAATTCTTCTTACACTGGAGTGACTTCTTACACTGCAGTTCCACCTTAAAGCCGAGTTATATACTAGGCACTATTCTTGGCAAAAATAAAATACAGCTAGTTAAGCTTCTGGCTTCTCTATTCTTTTCTGAACAGAATGCATTCTTGAATCAAAGGGTTAAGAGTTACATTAAGGCGTGACCTTCACCGGTGCTGTGGGAAAATCCTCTTGTTGCTTCCTTATATAATTATTAAAAGCACTGAATAGTAGACCCCCGTCTCCTCATTCTCTACAAGCCACTGTCCTTGGTATGTTCTTTATATTGAAGGGAAAAAAACCCATTCACAATCATGTACAGTGACTCATGTAATGGCTCATTTGCCAGACCTTGTTACAGCAAGATAATGCAGTAATTAATCATGTTCTATTTGATACATTTGATACAGATTGGAGGTTTGTGACATCTGAGGATCGGCTCCCTTGTTAAAATCAGCAATAATGCAGGAGATTTTTCAGATGCCTAAGGATGGTTTTGCATTAGGAGGGTGCTCTCCCCGATGCAGAGTGGTGAACAAACCAGCTTCCAGAGCACAGTCAAAAAATTATTCAACCAGTGTTCCATAAATCACAACAGATGGATCTTATTTCTTCTTCCTCTCTGCCTCAGTAATCAAGGTTAGAAAAACCTGGTGGTTAAACATGACACTTCTGATGTATTACATTTTGAAAAAGAAATCAGATTTTCCTGGCACTGTGTCAGCTGCCAGTCAGAGCATACCAAGAAATGTTGGCACAGGGAAATGAGGCTCAAGATAGCAAATTAAGATGACTTGAGATATTCCAATATTTCTGTCTCAGACTAATTTATTTATTCATTTATTTATTATTAAATTTGTATGCCACCCATCTCCCCAGTGGGTGACTCTGGGTGGCTCACAATTAAAAATCAAAAGCCCATAAACA